GTGTGTGTGTTCGTGTGTGTTCGTGTGTGTTCGTGTGTGTTCGTGTGTGTTCGTGTGTGTTCGTGTGTGTTCGTGTGCGTTCGTGTGTGTTCGTGTGTGTTCGTGTGTGTTCGTGTGTGTTCGTGTGGTGTGTTCGTGTGTGTTCGTGTGTGTTCGTGTGTGTTCGTGTGTGTTCGTGTGTGTTCGTGTGTGCTCGTGTGTGTTCGTGCGTTCGTGCGTTCGTGTGCTCGTGCGTTCGTGCGTTCGTGCGTTCGTGCGTGTGCGTGTGCGTGTGCGTGTGCGTGTGCGTGTGCGTGTGCGTGTACGTGTGCGTGTGCGTGTGTGTGTGTGTGTGCGTGTGTCTTTGTGCGCGTGCCTGTGTGTATGTTTGTGCCTGTGCCTGCGTCTGGTACTTTGTCTGTCTCTATGCCTGTGCCTGTGTCTGTGTCTGTGCGTGTCTGTGCCCGTGTGCATGAATCTTGCCCCCGCCCGTCCGTCCCAGCAGCCGGAGGGCGGACGGTCCAGATCGTCGAGATCATCGAAGTCGTCCAGGCCGTCCAGGTCGTCGTCGAGGTCGTCCTCGAGGGCGAGGATGAGGACCACGAGGGTAGAGGATGGTATGGGGAGGAGAGGATGGGAGCAAGATCGCCTCAAATACTTCTGCGCCCCACACCACGCGCGAGGCTCGGAAAACGCCATCCTCTTGCGCCCTGGCGTTAGGTCGGCCATGTCCTCCTACATGCGGATTGTGGGCGCACATTAAGAAATACTCCAAACATAGCTTTAAACAAAAAGAATATGAACAATAATAGAAACATCGGCCCCATACTATTATTTGACTATCGAGGGACAACACGCCCGACTTAAGTCGAGCAGCCAGGGCGGCGAAAGAGGCAGTCGCTCCATCGCTCCTCTCCCATGTCTGCCGCGATAGCTTCGAACACGCCCTCTACCGTGGTCCTCGCTCACTATAGGGGAGCTCACCGCAGGGGAGGGGGCAACTCACAGGGGGGCAGGCTGGCAGGAACTGAAGGAGGACGAGGGAAACGAGATGGAGCAGGAGGGAGAAGTTGAGGCAACCCATGCCTTGATCTTTTCGCTGTGGTGCCCTTGGAGCTCCCGACCCCTTCACCAGCGCCAGCTCTTCATCCCGAGCCGGTTGTTGACGGCAGCGGAGCCCGAAGGCGGCCCTCAGAGGCGGAAAACGGCAAAGAAACTCCATCGTGATCTGCCCAAGCGCCCGAACGTACCTGCCAAGACGCCTCCTCAGAGCGCCCGAAGGTGCCTGCCAGGACCTTCCTGGAGCGCCCGACTGTACTCGCAAAGGCGGCTCCCTGGCGCGCGCCGCAAGCCGACTGCCAGGACGCGCCCTTGGAGCGCCACTAAGGGTGGGACAGCAAAGGGTAGAGTAGAGAATCAGCTCACGTAGCTGGTTTCCCTGGCGTTGGGCGTGCCTTTTTGAGGGGGTCATAAAAGGGGGGGGTCAGGAACGGTCCCCTTTCGTGCCCCTTTCGGGCCCCTCCAGAGCCCCAGGGTGCTCGTTCAGGTACCGTTTGGGTACCTTTTCGGACCACCCTCGGTGTGTCTGTGTGTGTGTCTGTGTGTGTCTGTGTGTGTCTGTGTGTGTCTGTGTGTGTCTGTGTGTGTGTCTGTGTGTGTGTCTGTGTGTGTGTGTCTGTGTGTGTGTGTCTGTGTGTGTCTGTGTGTGTGTGTCTGTGTGTGTGTGTCTGTGTGTGTCTGTGTGTGTGCGTGTCTGTGTGTGTGTCTGTGTGTGTGTCTGTGTGTGTGTGTCCCTGGTGTGTGTGTCTGTGTGGTGGTGTCGTGTGTGTGTGTCTGTGTGTGTGTGTCTGTGTGTGTCTGTGTGTGTCTGTGGTGTCTGTGTGTGTGTGTGTCTGTGTGTGTGTCTGTGGTGTGTGTCTGTGTGTGTCTTGTGTGTGTTTGTGTGTGTCTGTGTGTGTGTGTGCGCGCAGGGCTATTTGGAACCACGCGTCAAAAAACGGTGGCCCGCTGGCGTCCTGAAGCATGCCGGGGTCTCTTGGAGCCTGCGGGGCGGGCCCTCCGCGCCTCCAGGGGCGTCGTGGGGGCTCTTGCGGCGCACGGTCGGCATTCGCAGGGAGCTCAGTTGAGGAGAGGGCCCAAAACCCTTCTCGGGATCGTCTCACAGGGACCTCTGAAGCCTTAGGTCGGGCATGTCCCCCTACAGGGGGATTTTGGGCAAATTAAAAAAAGTCAGCACATACCCCCAAATAGCCACACAGACACACAGAATTATCAAAACATCGTCCCCTGACTATGTGTTGACTAGTTTTGAATATTCCCCCTGTCGAGAGACACGCCCGACTTGATATTTGGGGCCTCTTTGGGCCCTCCATTGGCCATGGGAGTTTCTTCGGAACCTGTCGGCGACCTCGGGGCTCATGTGGGGGGCGGGAAGCTCGAAATTCGAGCTCGGTTTCCCCCTCTCGGGCCGCTCTTGGGTCTCTCTTGGGCTGTCTCGCGAACTTCTTGAGCCGTCTTACAGCCCTCATAAGCTGACTTGGGGCTGCCTTGAGGACCTCTCGGGCCGTCTTGGGGGTCTCTTGGGTTGTCGTAGACATCGTTCACTTCAGGAACGAATCTGGCCAACAAGAAAAGATTGCCTGAACGAGAGAACATATGTTTGCTTCTCAGGGTCCTCTTGGAGGTCCCCTTGGGCAAGCATCGTGCTGTGAGTCCGCCACATGCTTGTGTAGCAGGTACGCCGCGTCCAAGCCCCATTTCAGCTGGCGTCTCCTCGCCCAAGCGCCCGGAGACATGCTGACACACTGAGGGGCTATCAGACGCCAGGCGAAGGCTGGCAAACCCGTGGCTGCTAAAACGGATGTCCAGGAAACTGCTTCTACTTCTTCTTCTTCTTTTTCTTCCGGGAGGCAGCCCGTTTACTTTAGCGCGCTGAATTGTATTCTGGGCACTTGTTTTGATCTTCCGGGGAGACCCTTTTGGCAGCCACGTCTTTGCCAGCCTTAGGTCGGGCATATCCCCCTACAGGCGGATTTTGAGCGAAAGAATTCTTAAAACATACCAACAGGACCAACAATAATCAAACATATCGCCCCCAGACCATTTGTTCCACGATTTTTGCAGATGCCTCCCGTAGAAAACATGCCCGACTTAATACCGGCCCTCGCCCAGCTTCCGCCACTGTCCTCCGCCGCCGGCGCCGCGGCAGACGCCAGAGAGGCCACGGCTCCGCCGTCGACCACACAAGGTCTGCCGCGACGCGGCCCGGCGGCGAGGCGGCCCGTCGCCGCCGAGGCGGCAGGGCGCTGCCAAACGTGGCAGCGTGGAGCGGCCCGGCGGCGCTGGATTGGTGGCAAGAATGCGAGGCGGGGGTTCATCCAGATCCACCGCCTGGGGCGCAACGTCCTGGTGCCCCAGCGGGCGGTGGAGATGGACACGTTTTGGCCCCCGGGAGCCTGAACATGTCCATGTCCACCGCCTGCCGGGGTCCCCGAAAATGGATCCTCCAGGCGGCGGTCATGTACAAATCCCGCCTCGGAGGGAAGAGCACTGAGCTTATGTACAGACCTGCTCTTCGCGGTGCGCAGACATTCTCCGCTCTCGAGAACATGGGTTTCTGCTATTGAGCGCACTGCGGCCCGCGCGCCGCGGAGCGGCGGAGCGGCGCCGCTGCCAGGCACCGAAGGACTGCTTCTCCTGCCCCCTCGCCCCCCCCCCCCTGGGGAAGCCCAAAGGTTCCGATGCCGCGACTCGACTCCCCGGACCTCTCTCCTGGGGTGCGTCCTGGCCAGAACCTCGGGGCGAATCCAGCAAAATAACAGCGAGGGGGCCTCCGGGGAGGCCCCAAAGAGGGGGCAAACGGGCGAAGGGTGGAGGTAGGGGTGCCTTTTCCTCCGCTGACCCCCATCACAATGCCATTCTCCCCCCTCTGGCCATCGCTCGGACGTCCATTCCCAGTGCTTTTTTTGGTTTCGTGCGTGCTTTTTTCGCCAAATGATCAAGGATGCTCCTCGATCGTCCTCGCCGAAGGAAAAGTGCACACGTCCGAGCGATGCCGAGCCCTCCACCTCGACCTCCTCCAGGCCAAGCCTTGCGACTGCGGGCCGCAGCCGCGGTGGCCTCGCACCCGTGTGCGGCCGCGGCCCAGAGGCGGCCGTCCTGCCTGCCTGCCCTCCCCCGGCGGGCGCGAGGCGGCACGGGCGGCGTGCGCACGTCCCCCGCGGCCACGGAGCGGCGGGTCGCCTGCCCCCGGCCAGCGGACGGCCCTACGAGTCAGCGAGCATCTTCTCGATGTGTCTCATCGTGTCGCCCTGTTCGGCGGCGGGCGAGGGGGGGGACTGAGAGGGAGAAGGCCTTCTCAGAAGGCGGCGGGGCTCCTCGGCAGCCCTCGCGGCTTCTGAGAAGTTCCACCAGCCCTTTAGGGCGTAGGTGGTCTAGAGCGTTTCCTCTGCCAGCCCCCTTCTTTCCCTTCGGGGAGGGGTTTACCCATCCCCTTACCCCCCCACCGACCTGGACGAGGGGTTCCGCGGGTCGTTGGGACGTCCAAGATGGCCCAAGACGGCTCCAAGAGCGAAAAAGCGAAAACGCACAAAACATTGATTTTCCTAAGGTTTTGAAAGGGTTTTGGCCTCTTGGGGGGGCCCAAGAGGCGATTCGAGGCACTCTAGAGGGGCAAGGCTCATACACGACCCCACTTATTTGATAGATCTCCTCCAACATGGCCCCAAGAGCGCCCCGAAGGCTCCCAAGAGCGCCCCAAGAGCGCCCCAAGAGGACCCCAAGAGGCCCCCAAGAGGCCTTCAAGAAGCTCCCAAGAGACCCCCAAGAGGCCCCAAGAGGCTCCCAAGATGGCCCAAGACGGCTCCAAGAGCGAAAAAGCGAAAAAGCTACAAAAACGTGTATTTCTTTAGGTTTTGAACAGATTCTGGCCTCAAGAAGGGCCCCAGAGGCGATTCGAGGCACTCTAAAGGGGCAGCGCTAACATACGACCCCCCCTTCTTTGATAGATCTCCTCCAAGATGGCCCCAAGAACGCCCCGAAGGCTCCCAAGAGCGCCCCAAGAGGGCCCCAAGAGGCCCCAAGAGGCCCCAAGAGGCCCCAAGAGGCCTCCAAGAGGCCCCCAAGAGACCCCCAAGAGACCACAAGAGGCTCCCCGATATACGCAAGAGGCCCCCTGGACCGCCAAGAAGCCCCAAAGACGGCCCAAGAGGCCCCCAAGCTCGCCATTGTCCTCCTCCTCTTCTTTTTCTTCCTCCTCCCTCCTCCCCCTCCCCCTCCTCCTCCTCCTCCTCCTCCTCCTCCTCCTCCTCCTCCTTCTCCTTTTCCTCCTTCTCGTCCTCCTCCTCCCCTCGTAATCCTTTCCTCCTCTCGTCCTCCTCGCCCTCGCGTCCTCCATATCCTCCTCCTCCTCCTCCTCCTCCTCCTCCTCCTCCTCCTCCTCCTCCTCCTCATTTTGCTTCTCCTCCTCCTCCTCCTCCTCTTCCTCCCCTCCTCCTCCCCCTCCTCCTCCCCCTCCTCCTGCTCCTCCTCCTGCTCTTCCTCTTCCTCCTCCTACTCCGACGACGACGAATCCTCCTACATTTTCCCCCTCTTGGGGAATATGGCGGCTCACCCCGCCGTTTGTTCTTCTGCATGCTCCCCCGCTTCCCCCATAACCTCCACTCCCCTGGGACTCATTTATGGACGGGCTGGCGGGGATATTTTTTGGTCGGCGGTTCCAGGACGAATGTCAAGAAGCGGGGCAACGTTCGGGGCGCTGAACGAAGATAGTTGGCCGCAGTGGCGCATAGGCCGCAGTGGCGTGTGCACATGCCAGGGACAAAATGACCCCCATTAAGAGGTGACCGGCTCAGACATCCCAGCAAGTGGGGACGCAGAGGCGCGGCGACCAGCGGCGGAACGGGGGGGAGAAGTCGCCCTTTCGGCGCCAAGCTCCAGCCGAACCACAAACGGGGGCAAGAGAGAGGGGAGAGAGCGAACACGAAGAGGCAGAAAAGGGGGAGAGAGCGAGCGCGAGCGATTAACTCAGACTCACTGCGGCACCCCGGGTGAACGATGGTGCGGCAAAAGAGGCCTGACTCGTCAAGGCTCACTGGAGCTAAGGTGTGGCTGAACCGCGTCAGGTCCATCCAGTAGAGAAGGACCACTGGTGTGCGCTCACGAGGCTGAGCCACCTCCAGCCGGTAGCCAATACGAGCACATCGTCTCCGATTCACGCAGTTCGGGGGCACAACGATGCAAGGTACAGACGAGGGCTGGTAGCCAGGGCTGCTCTGAAGAGAGCGACCACGAACTGCAGAAGGCTGAACCACTCAATGCAGGGCCGCTCACTTGCAAAGGTGTGGCTGATCCACGTCAGAGCGCCATCCAGTAGAGAACGACCACGGTGTGCGCTCACGAGGCTGAGCCACCTCCAGCCGGTAGCCAGTGCGTGCACATCGTTTCCGACTCACGCAGTTCGGGGGCACAACGATGCAAAGTACAAACGAGGGCTGGTAGCCGGGGCTGTTCTGAAGAGAACGACCACGAACTGCATAAGGCTGAACCACTCAATACAAGGCCGCTCACTTGACGAATCCAAACACCGGGTGTCGCCGACTGTATGGCTGTGAGCTGCGCCCAACCACGCCTGCCTGCCCGTGCGGAAGCCAGTACCCTGCCGGTGGCGTGACGATGGCTGGCGGCTACCGAGCTGCTGGGCCGTACTCGCAGGCGGCGTGCTGATAGCGAGCCAAGACAGAACCATGGCCGGGTCGGCGACGGACCACGGCGAGCCACAGGCAGGAGGGGGGCGCAGCCAAAAGCCGCTGAGCACTTGTGTCAATGAGGGGTGCTGGGACACCGTCCCATACGAGACCACTGGTGTGCTGCACGAGGCTGACAACCACCAGCTGGTAGCCAGTCCACATGCATCGTATCCGACCCACGCAATTCGGGGGCACAACGATGCAATGTCCCGGCGAGGGCTGGGGCTGTGGCTGCGCCGAGAAGAGCGAAACGAACATGGACCGCGGAAGGCTGTACCACTCGATGCGGGGCCGCTCGCTGACGAAGCCAATCGCCATGTATGGAGGACCCGAAACTCCATGGGCAGGTGCAGGGCGGACGCTTTTCAACGGTCGATGCAAACTCGGGGGGGGGCGCAGCCAAAAGCCGCAGAGACTTGTGAATGATAGAACCGCGGAAGGCTGTACCACTCGATGCGGGGCCGCTTACTGACGAAGCCAATCTATGTTGTTAATTGGGGGGGGCGCAGCCAAAAACCGCAGAGACTGGTGAAAGAGAACGGGGGGGCGCAGCCAAAAGCCGCTGGACACAGATAGTGATACCCTGGGCCTCCAAGCGCGGAACTTCCTGACCACGGGCGAGGCGTCCTTGTAGCAAAACAAAGGCTGAATCGGCAACGAGGGGCCGAAGCTCCCTGGGCCGGTCTCAGGGCGAGCGCACATCAGCGGCCGCGGCAATCTTCGCAGGGGGGGGCGCAGCCAAAAGCCGCAGAGACATTGTGAATGAATGAGGAGGAGGAGGAGGAGGAGGAGGAGGAGGAGGAGGAGGAGGAGGAGGAGGAGAGAAGGAGGAGGAGGGGAGGACGGCCCTCAAGAGCGGGGTTCTGCTCGGAGCCCGCTCGTCCATCGACGCATGGCGGTCGCTGAGGTGAGGCACCCGCCGCAGCCAAGGGGGGGTCTGGTGGCTAGCCCCCTTGGTGGGTGGCCAGCGCCGCCCAATTCCATGGACAAGTGTTGATTCTCTCCAGATACCTCGTCCACGGACGCCTCTAGGTTCCCTACGGGAGCCTCGTTCTCGGCCTCAGGGGGCTGGAACTGGGCCTCCGAACCTCACACAGGGCACCCTTCACAGTACCTACTGCCCAACGGTCCATAGCTGTCCCCCCTCGGCCTCCTGCAGGGAATGGGCGCAGCCAAAAGCCGCAAAACACAGGAACACGGAGGGGGGAAGAGACCGCAGGGACATCCCGGCAGTGCGCCGGCAAATCTGGACCACGCTGAAGAGGGTGGTGCCACCGCCACCGCTGTCCGACAGAAACGGGATGCAAGAGTACCAGGACCCAGGACCAGCGGCGGCCCCCCAGGGAGCCCGGCGCCAGGATGCAAGCCACAGGAGAGCCCGCGGGACACGCGGTCCGTACCCACTGCATCCGCTGAGTCCACACTTCCGCACAGTACCTCATGTCAAACGGCCCATTGTTGTTCCCAACGGCCTCCCGCAGGGGGGGGGCGCAGCCAAAAGCCGCAGAACACAGGTACACGGCGGGGGGTGGAAGCCGCAGGGACATCCCGGCAGTGCGCCGGCCCAAGCGGACCACGCTGGAGAGGGTGGTGCCGCCGTCACCGCTGACCGACTGAAACGGGATGCAAGAGTACCAGAGTCACAGAGGGCGGACCTGGGACCAGCGGCGGCCCCCCAGGGAGCCCGGCGTCAAGATGCAAGCCACAGGAGAAACCGCGGGACACGCCATCCTTCACACTGCAGTCGCTGAGTCCACACTTCTGCACTGTACCTCTTGTCCAACGGTCCATAGTTGTTCCTCCTCGGCCTCCTGCAGGGGGGGGGCGCAGCCAAAAGCCGCTGAACACAGGTACACGGCGGGGGGGTGGAAGCTGCAGGGATGGTATATTCCATGGTGATGCACGGCACGTCCGACAACAGCACGACAGAACCAAGAGACAGAAAGTATCAGACCCCCAATCGTGCTGATGAGTACGGTGTACAACTCGTAGTCAACAGAGAAGGTGGATCTCAGAGTAGAATTCCAGACTGCCCACGGTATCGCCACAAGCGCAGCACGCAGACAGAGGAGAAAAATACTGAGGTCGACGGTATAGCCACACACGCAGCACGTAGACAACAGCCAAAATGAAGAAATAGAAATTCTGAGCGAAACAGAAGTCGAGACACGACGCAGGATGCGCCGGGCAGCAACGGGCCTGCTGCCAGCGACCATCCTCCACGCACCTGGTCCCCTCGAGTGCGATGCCGTTTACGAAGTGTGAGCCAGCAGAGTGTGTCTGCAAGAGCCCCATCTATGATTGGACAGTGAAAGTCTCCTCCTCCTCCCCCTCCTGCTCCTGCTCCTCCTCCTGCTCTTCCTCTTCCTCCTCCTACTCCGACGACGACGACTCCTCCTACATCCTCCCCCCTCTTGGGGAATATGGCGGCTCACCCCGCCCTTTGTTCTTCTGCATGCTCCCCCGCTTCCCCCATAACCTCCACTCCCCTGGGACTCATTTCTGGACGGGCTGGTGGGGATACGCGAAGCGTCTAGAATTTTCTCTGTCTCCGGGGAAGGCTCAGGAAACTTCTCAGAAGGCCGCGGAACTCCCGAAACTTCTGAGAAGGCCCGCCCCTTCTCAATTCCCCCCCTCGCTCGCCGCCGACCTGTGAGCGCAGCATCTGGAGCATCTGGGTGGTCTCGACGGGGACGGACTGGAGCATCAAGTTGAAGATGCCGTCCACGAACTCGCCTTGGTCGATCTCGCCCGAGCGATCGGCGTCGAGATAACTGCAGACGTCTACGATCTGGTGCGAAGCTAAAACCTTCCTGAGCTCTGGCGGCAAATCTCTCAAGATGTGCGCCTGCATCATGTCTTCCAATCCAGATCTGTAGTCCTTCAAGCTGAGGTTCTCCGTTCTGGCCCTCCGGATGAGAAAACGAAAGACCTGTTCGACGAGAGGCTCAAGATCCCTCAACTTGCCTCGCTTAAGAATCAGGTCCATCTCTCGATCTTCGTCGGCTTGTGCGATGGCGTTGTCCACAATGACAGCAGTAATCAAGTTCATCAGTTTGATAGTCACGATGAGCCAGACAAATCCAAAATAGACTCCCATATACCATGCCTTAGTCACGAGAGGCATGTACACGCTTGCAATGGAGTCTGCGTTTGCGAACTGAACCAAGGTGTGCATCGCTACCGGCAGAGATCGGAAATGATCCTGGATAACCTCTGCGGTCACTGGATCTCCCATCAAGAAAGAATCCTGAAAGATCAGCTCAACGCCGAGACAAGCAAACACGAATACCGTCAATAATATCATGATGCAGGCTGACATAACAGTCCGGAACGAGCGCAGGAGGCCATTCGCAAGCTTCCACATCTCCTGACACTGCTCGAAGATGCGCAGAGCGCGCACGAGGCGGGTGAGTCGCAGTATCCGCAGCACTAGAACCTTGGACATAATGTCGAGCAACAGTCGTTCTTCAGTGTCGTCCGAGGTATCTTCCACAATGGGCTCTACCACCCAGGTGGAAAACACTCCAATCATAACCAATATGAGGTCGAATCGGAACCACTTGCTGCGGAAATTGTCCAGGCCGTCAGCAAGTACGCGGATGACCAGCTTCACTATGAAGATCGACAGGAAAATATGCTCTAGATTCTAGATCATGGGCCCTCTGCGTGCAGGCTGCATTGCCATCCAGATCACACTGAATCTCCACCCCCAGCATTATGGAACTCAAGACGATGATCAGGCCGATGACGGAGTCGAATGCAGTCCGGTGGCGATGTATCAACCTCCACGCCGCAAGCCGCGCGCCGATGGTCTGCTCGGAGATCACTGGCTCGGGCGTGGCGCTCCTCCGCCAAGCCCTGCCGCCGCCGCCGCGACCCGCGGCCGCGTTCGCCCAGTCGTTCCTGACGCTCTGGGTCCCTGGCGACGGGCGATCCGCGGCCGCGCACGTCTCGTCACTCCTGTCGCTCTGGCTCCCTGGCGACGAGGGCCTCCGCCGCCCCCCCGGCGAGGCGGGCAGCCGCTCCGGCAGCCGCGCTCGCCCCCTCGGCGGGCGCAGCTCCTCGCGCAGGGCCTGGCGGAGGGCGCCGCCCTCGTCGAGGGGGTCGCCCCACAGCCTCTCCAGGCGATCCAGACCGCCCCGCAGCTCCTCGCGCAGGCCCGCGAGAGCGGTCTCCAGGGCGCGCTCGTCCAGGCCCGCCATGGAGCGCCGCGCGCGCGCGCCGGGCACCGCCGCGGGACGGGCCGCGAGGGGGCACTCCGCCGAGGGTGGCCGTCGACCACCTGAGCCGGAATGGCTCGAGCCAAAACGGCTGCGACATTCCACGCGGACTTTTTGTGGTCTTCATTTCTGGCCCCCAAAAAACCGGCACGAAATGCACCTCGAAATCGGGAACGAAACATTCTCAAGGACAGTCCGAGCCCATCCCATGCTTTTCCGAGCGAAATCCGCTCTGCGATGTCGCCGGCGCCGGCCCCGTGCCCCGCCCCCTTGCGTAAGTCGGACCTGTCCCTCTACAGGAGGGATACTTTTCTTTGGTCGCGGCCGCGGGCGAGAGCGCAAACGGCGAGTCGTAAGTCCGGGGCGCGGGCCTACTAATTGACAACAGGAGCACACTAGAGCCGCACACCTAAACTGCCTAAGCTGCCTACACTGCCTAAACTGCCTAAGCTGCCTAAACTGCCTAAGCTGCCTAAACTCCCTCTAATGCGGGATGACGATTAATAAAAAATGGGAGGGAACGATTCAGACATAGTTTTCTGCTACGTCTGCACAAGTTTCTGACTGGAGGAACGATGTTTAAAAAAGTAGTTGTCCAGCCCGCGGCCGGCGTTTTCTAATCGTCATCCCGGGCGCCGCCGCGTGAACACGACCCCCGGTCATGTATTAATCGTCATCCTCCATTACGTAAGTCGGGCCTGTCCCTCTACAGGAGGGGTACTCAAAGATAGTGAAAAATTAGTCTTGGGGCGATGTTCTGACCATTTCGGAATCTCTTATACGGTATTTTTCAATGGCTTTGTCGACAACCGCCTCGGGCCTGTCCCTCTACAGGAGGACTGTTCACAGATAGTAAAAAAGTCATGGGATGATTTATTTTACCATTTTGGACTATCTTCTGGTATTTTTCAATAGCTTTGTCGACCACCGCCTCGGGCCTGTCCCTCTACAGGAGGAATTCTCAAAGATAATAAAACAACTAGTCTTGGGACGATTTTCTCACTATTTCTGAATATTTCGTTGTGTTTTCAATAGCTTTGTCGACAACCGCCTCGGGCCTGTCCCTCTTCACGAGGAATGTTCAAAGATAGTGAAAAAATAGTCTTGGGACGATTGTTGGACCATTTTGGAATATCTTATGGTATCTGTTTTTCACTATTTTGCTTTTTTCGCCTAAAACCGGCCTGTAGGGGGACAGGCCCGACTTAACACGATGCATGTGGCCAGGGAGGGCGCAGGAGACCGCGCCACTCATCACTGCACCGGCCTTGCAGACGTGCTGCAGCGGATTGTTGCGTGGACCTTCCAGACACGATCGGACGAAGAACCGGTCCCGGGGAAAGGGTCGGGACTTCCAGGGACGCCGTGCTGAAAACATCAAGACGTCGCATGTCTGTGGACGTGCTGCAGCGGATGTTTGGTGGATTTCTGTCACTGCAAAACACCCGAAACGGCGAGCGGAAAACGAAGTGACTTCCACTCGGATTTGTTGGTGTGTATTGCTTTTGTGCCTCCTGCCAAAGGCTACGACGAGCAAGTGGTTCGAATTCAAGGCCTGCAGCATGTAAGCGTCCTCAGCTCTTCACATGGACGCGCGTCTCTGGGGCTCTCCCCATATAGATAAGGGAACAAACAGTGACATAAACATAAAAACTCGGAGGTCCGCGCGGATTTCTCGGATCGGCGCTGGACCCCCCTCCCTGGCGCGCGGAGCGCGCCAGGGGCGGCGCCGGAGGCGCCGCCAGGGGGCCCCAGCGCCGATCCGAGAAATCCGCGCGGACCTCCGAGTTTTCATGCTTCTGTCACTTGTTGTTCCCCTAATAAAAGTGCAGAGGCTGGAAGCCAGGTTTGAGCATGCAGCTGTGTGCGACGGGCGGCGATGCTGAGCCCGCGCGACCCGGCGCGTGCGCGCACCTGCCGGGGCTTCGCCAGCAGCGCTCGCACAGTCTCGCCTCCCGCGGGGCAGAAGCGAGGAGCCGCCGCGGGAGAGACCGAGGTCCCGATCCTGCCTCCAGATCCTCCTCCTCCTCCTCCTCCTCCTCCGCCTCCTCCTCCTCCTCCTCCTCCCTCCTCCTCCTCCTCCTCCTCCTCCCTCTCCCTCCTCCTCCTCCCTCCTCCCTCCTCCCTCCTCCCTCCTCCCTCCTCCCTGCCTCCGCCTGGTCGGGCGGTGCCCGAGGCGGAGAGGCCGCGAGGGTGTGCGCGGAGGAGCGGGGAGGAAGAGAGGGGATGATGAGCGGCAGTCCGTGGCTGAAAGAGACTCCCCTGCGGCCCCGTGAGGCGGCGGCGACGCGGAGGCAGGCGCGCGGCAGCTGCGCGCCGCACCTCCCCGGGCCCCGCCCGCAGCTGCAAGGGGGTGGTGCCCCGACGGTGGCCCCGCGCGCCGCGGAGCGGCGAAGCGGCGCCGCTGCCGGGCACCGAAGGACTGCCTCTCCTGCTCCCTCCCCCCCCCCCTGTGCTGGCGAGGAGCAGTGGGGAGCAGCAAGCGGGCGACCCGCCAAAAACGCGAAACCGGGAAAACCCGTAAAGTCGTAAACCGGACGGCTTTCGCGTAAAATAGCGTTTTTCCCGCAATGGCCGACGTGCGCGAAAACGGGAAAACCCGTAAAGTCGTAAACCAGACGGTTTTCGTGTAAAGTAGCGGTTTCCCCGCACTGGCCGATTTGCGCGGAAACGGCCCCAGCGTTAAACGCGTAACGAGCCACGTGCTGGTTTACGACTGTGCGAATTTACGCGATTACCGAGCGGGCGGAGGCCAGGGCCGCGGAGGAAAGGAGGAGGTGGGGGAGGAGGAGGAGGAGGAGGAGGAGGAAGAGGAGGAGGAGGAGGAGGACGAGGAGGAGGAGGAGGAGGAGGAGGAGGAGCACAAGGAGGAGCAAGAGAAGGAAAAAACGAATCCCACCAGCCCTCTGGGCGTAGGTGGTTCCGGGAGTTTCCTCGTCCATCTTCCCTTCTTCCCCTTCGGGGAAGGGTTCACCCCTCCCCCTAACCCCTTCCCCTCGACCTGGACGGGGGGTTTCGCTGGCAGTTGGAGCGTCCAAAACGGCCTCGGCGAGGAAGCCAAAACCATCGGTTTTACTAGGGTTTTGGCCGATTTTAGAGCTCCCGAGGGGGGACGCTAATTTTTTGGACCCCCTTCCTTTGATCGATCACCTCCAAGATGGCCCCAAGAGCGCTCCCAAGGCTCCCAAGAGCGCCCCAAGAGGGCCTCAAGAGGCGCCGAGGAGGCCCCAGGAGGCCCTGAAGAGGCTCCCTGGACCCCCAAGAGGCCTCAAGAGGATCCCCGAAGCATCCAAGAATCCCCCAGGCGCTCCACAAGGACCCCAAAACAACTTCCAAGGGACATCCCAGGAGGCTCTTGTGCACGTTATTGTTCTTGTTCCTTCTCATCGTTCTCCTCCTCCTCCTCCTCCTCCTCCTCCTCCTCCTCCTCCTCCTCCTCCTCCTCCTCCTCCTTGTCGGCCTACTCCTCCTCCTTCCCCTCCACTTTATCAGCCTCCTCCTCCTCCTCCTCCTTCCCCCTTCTCTTCCTCCCCCTCCTCATCCTCCTCCTCCTCCTCATACCTCCTCCTTTCCTCTTCTCATCCTCCCCTCCTCCTCCTCCTCCTCCTCCTCCTCCTCCTCCTCCTCCGTCCTCCTCCTCCTCACCATCATCTCCGCCGATTCCCCCTCCTCCCTCCCCCCTCCTCACACTTTTCCCACCTGCTGCCCCTCCTCCCCCTCCTCCTCCTCCCCCTCCCCCTCCTCCTCCTTCCTCCTCCTCCTCCTCCTCCTCCCCCTCCCCCTCCCTCCTCCTCCTCCTCCTCCTCCATCACTCCTCCTCCTTCTCCTCCTCCTCCTCCTCCTCCTCCTCCTCTCCTCATCCTCCCTCCTCCTCCTCCTCCTCCTCCTTTCCGACGCCATCCTCCTCCTCCTCCTCCTCCTCCTCTTCCTCCTCCTCCTCCTCCTCCTCCTCCGACTCCATCCTCGCCCTCTTGGGTAAGACGGGCCCCCCGGCCCTTTGCTACTCTGTATGCTCCCTCACTTCCCTGATCACCGCAATTCGCCTGGGCATCGTTTTTGGATGGGCTGGTGGGGATGTTTTTTTGATTGGCGGCTCTAAGGAAGAGTCCAAGAAGCGGGGCAAGCACGTCTGGGGCACAGGCGAGATAATTGGTTACGAAGACGCCTAGGCCGACGCAACAGGTGCACCTGCAAGGCGCACAATGCCCCCATTAAGATGCGAGCGACCCGAGAACGGGGACGCAAGCACCAGACTGGAGTAGACGGAGAGAAGTCGCACAGTGGCGCCAGCTCAAACCGTACAGTCCAGAGAGCACAGGCTAGGGCCGATCAGCCAAGTGGCAGGACAGTGGGCACGTGAGGCCGCACCGCTCACCACTACGAGGCGAGAGAGCGGGGAAACCGCGGGCAGAAGAGGGGTGGCCGGGTAAGCCTCACTCACTTGGACTCCTGGGCGCGATCCGACGTGAGCCATCGACCAATGCACTGACGTCGATGCAGTCGCGGAGGTCCGAACCTAGACTGCCTGACCCGGAGTGTCGGGGGAACGGCAGCAGGCGTGGCCTAACACCATGGTCCAACCCGTAGGAGAGCATGAGTACTGTCAAAGGATGAACCACTTGTGCAGTACCAGGAGCACGATGGTGGCTCCCGCCCAGAGGTGGACCACGTCGTCGGCGAACAACGCAGGCAGCTTATCCATCACGGTGGGCGGGGGGACCAAGCGGCGCGCGTCAACCGGAACCGCGGTGGACCAGAAGGGGGAACGTGGATAGTCGAGCAAAGGGTGTGCCACTTGCCGCACCGCGCTCACCCCAGGTCCGGCCCCCGGTGGTGCCGGGGCAGGCAGAGGCCCGAGTTGTCAGAACAACACCAGGCGGCAGCGCGGCCCGACCTCACCTCGGAGCTCTGCGAGAGAGCCGCCAGGTGGTGCATAGACCCAAGTGCTCCAAGAGCCTCGGCAGGGGGGAAATCGCGCGTGG